GCGTCCGGCCGTCCGTCCGGACACCCCATGGTGCATCCGGTCCGTCCGTCCGGACACCCCATGGTGCGTCCGGACGGTCCGTCCGGACGTGCAAAAAAGAAAATAAAAAAAATTTAAAAATTATTTACAAAGTAAAAAAATATAAAAAAATACATAGTCAATCTTCAATGTCTTGGTGATGTCATGATATTTTTTTTTGGATTTTTTCGACATTTGTTTGACGGTCAAAAGAGCCGTAAAAAGTCGAGAGGAAAAGCGTAGAGAGAAAAAGTAGAGAGATAGTGTGAAGGGCAAAAATATAATTAAAAAGGACGGTGATTAGTAAAAGGGGGACGGTAAATAGTAACACCCTTAATTTAAATAGCAATTCACAATTAGACGGGTCAATAGCACTTCCGCAAAAGCGCTTTCAATAGAAATTTTGGTCATCGCGAGACCCTCTAGCAGTAGCGCTTTCAAGCCGTCGTTCCAGAAGCGGCTCAGCCGAATGATTGTGTCGGGCTATTTAACCCGACTCGCCTGACCCGCATAAATACCCACAGTTTATACTTTATCCCCTACCAAATCTGCTCGACTCTTGCTGTACTGTATTTTCTCGTCTTCAGGTTTTCTGCGATCTCTTTAGCCTTTGGAAACCCTAACATTTTGTATACAAATTGTGTGAAATACTTCAGCTGAGAAAAAGGATTTCGATCTTCTTCTTCAACGATGATTCCGTTTTCCTCCAAGGTTTCCAGTCAGATTCGTTTTCTGCTGCAGAGTTTGACCGACTCCAACTCCGATTCCGTTTTCCAAGAGCTATGCAAGGTGCATACAATTTACTTTTTTGAGATTTTCTTGCATTTTTTTTTTCGATCTAGCTCGTGTCTGATTACTGCCATGTACTAGCTGTCTTTGATTGAGATTCTGTATTGCCCTTGTACTCTGTAATTAGTACTGTGGAAAACCTTACCTGAGGAGCTGCGCGTTGTTTTGTTCAGTGACTTATGTCTTTCAACTTACTTTATTGATTGTATCTGTCGGAGAGAACAGCAGTTGGGATGTGTTTGTTTGTGATCACATTGCTGACAGTGATTGGGGTGTCATTGTTTTTTATGGCGATTGTATTTGTAACATGTTTAACTTACAGTACTCAATGCATGGATTGGAGGGGAGCATACTACTGCTTCAGACGTGTTGGGATCACCTCAATATCCATGGCAAGGATTTGAAAACTATGAAGCTGCACCCCATATATGCTTCAATATTCAAACATATATTGGATAAACCAAATTTTAGTACCGTGTTATGTGAGTCACTGAGGACTGCTCCAATAAGTGAAGAATTACTGCAGAATCTGTCTGGTGCACTACACTTGTCGATGTCTGAGAATATTGGGATTGGTCTTGCACTGTCCAATTCGGAAAATCATGATATCAGAATGTGTGGTTAGTCCTTTCAATCTCTTTAGACTAATGATCAGATATTGGATTGTTAGTGTCAGAGGCTCGGATGAACTTTAAACTTGGAATAAATATATTATAATGCTGTTTGATATCCCACCAAAGTTCTTTCCCATTTGTTATATTTCCCCCCTTTCTTCTCTATTATCAACCTGTCCATCGTCGCGCTTGCTGCAGGAAAAAATTTCTGCATGAATCAGATTGCAGAGTTGTGTGCAAATCCCGAGGCATTTGAGTCTACTGAGAAAATTCAGCATATTATCATGTTTCTTAGTCGTTCTGAAGGCCTTTCCAAGCATGTAGATTCATTCATGCAAATGTTGTCGCTTGTACGGTTGAGGGACGGGGCCCAATTTATCTTAGCACCATTTCTTCCTGATGAATTACGTGCAGAGAATTTATTTAGGTGTTTCCTATGGATCTTTTCTTGCTTTTCTTTTTGGCGAGAGTTTTTCTTAAAAATTCCAGATAGACAGCTCTTACTAATAATTGTGCAGGCTGACTTTATGCTGGAGATAATTTGTTTCTCCTTTTCTTTGTTTATTTTGCTACAGGCACTTAGATTTGTTTAATGAGGCTGACGAAGATGATTTTGATGCCATTCTAGCGGAAATGGAGAAGGAAATCAGCATGGCTGATGTGATGAGTGAATTAGGATATGGATGCACAGCCAGTGTCTCTCAGTGCAAAGACATCTTGTCACTTTTCTTGCCGCTTTCTGATGCCACAATTGCGAAGATACTTGGTACAATTGCAAGAACTTACACAGGTCTTGATGACAGTCAAAACGTGTTTGCTGCATTCCGTTCTGCTCTTGGTGGAAATAATGATCTGGATCCACCATCTTTGACTTCGTGGAATGTAGAAGTCCTTGTAGAGTCTATCAAGCAGCTTGTAAGCTCCAAGAGTTTTGGCTTCATGTTTAATGATGATCTAGACATCAGTTTTGGGTCTTTATGCTGATTTTATTGTGTCACTTTTACTTTGGTTGTCTTGTTTTCAGACTCCAGGAGTTAACTGGATAAGTGTAATGGAGAAGCTGGACCACGAAGGCTTCTATATCCCTAATGAGGCAGCATTTTCACTTTTTATGTCAGTTTATAGGCATGCTTGCCAGGTACCATTAGAAAATTTGGATCAGTGTTTAAATCATGATAGGCATGTAATCAAGCAGCCTTATAATTCCTATTAATTTCACCATATGGGATCTGGTATGTAGGATCCGTTCCCGCTGCACGCTATTTGTGGCTTTGTGTGGAAGAACATTGAGGGTCAGTTATCTTTTCTAAAGTATGCAGTCTCTGTGCCGCCTGAAGTATTTACATTTGCTCATTCAGAAAGGCAACTGGTAATTTTCCTAATAGCTTCAGTTAACTCTTTGAGCAGTGATTGCCTTACTGCCTGCCACACATTTTAATTCCACGTGACCTGCAAATGAGTGTTTTACATGTTTTAATTGACAGTCCTATGGTGATGCTGTGGCCGAACCATTTCCACCTGGAAAATCAAATCACGCTTGGTTATGTCTTGATCTACTGGATGTTTTATGTCAATTATCAGAGAGAGGAAATGCAAGTCTTGTCCGTTCGGTCCTTGAAAAACCACTTAACAACTGCCCTGAGTTGTTGCTTCTTGGGATGGCTCATGTTAATGTATTGGAAATCTATTCCACCTTTGATTCTGATATTATTTCCCATTAAAGTATTGTCTTGTAACTTTTAGTTGTATGATATGCAGACTGCATACAATCTTATTCAGAACGAGGTTGCATCTGCTGTTCTACCTATGGCACTAAGAAATGCATCAGGGAGAGGTTTAATTTTTAATATCTGGCATGCTAAACCAGACATGTTGTTGCGAGGACTTATAGAAGCGATGAGTCTTGATTCAGAGAATGTTTACCTGATTTTGGATGTCTGCCAGGAATTCAAGGTTGGCTTCTTATTGAGTTAAAAGTTGTACCTTTTTCTCAATAAATAATCTCTTATTGTTTGGCAAGACACTCTGCTTTAAAGGCATTAAATCTTGTTTTTAATAAAAAATAGTTGATTCTTAAGTGCTTTGAACTGGGCTCATGATCTTTATGGAATTCTTACAAGATTGTTACTAGGTTAAAAAATTTGCTCAAGCTTGAAATGGATGTTTTTACAAAAGAAGTAATTGTCATAATTTAGTTTATGCATTCGTTATCCCTTACTCAAAATAGCATGTTCACTAACATATTTGATTATTGCTCTTACAGATTCTATCTTCAGTATTGGATATAATTCCATTTTACTTTGGCATTCGCATAGCTGCCGTTGCCTCTAAGAAAGAAATCATGGACCTTGAGGGTTGGTTGAATACTCATTTATTGACAAATAAAGATGCTTTCTATGAGGTAAAACTTTCCTCTGTGATTTAGTACCTACCACCCGAACCATCTATTAGTTTATACCAATTTGAAATTCTGTATTATCGATATTAGCTTCTCTTTCTTGTGGCTTTTACTGGTGAAAATTCAACTCTGAAGTTTTATAAAAGAATGCTACTGAGATCTGTTTTACTTATGCCGCCAGGAGTGCCTTAAATTTCTGAAGGATGTTCAGATTGGATCACATGACGTTTCTGGGAACCGTTTTCATCCTCCTGTTCCTCTTTTGAATATTTATTTGGAAGCTTGTCCCACTGTTTTAAAGGTATTATGGTGTTTCTATAATAATCTCATTGCTTCCAGATCAATTTGCTGATCCCTAACCTTTTGAAAGGTTTGTTATAACAGATCCTTCAGTCTCTTGCTGATTTGGTTTCCTCCAGTAACTTGTCTGAGGAAATTGATAAATTAGATGTCTCCCATATGCTTGCTAATTCAAGAGTTAAAAATGGCACGAGTTCCGACTCAGCTACTGGTGATAATTACGCTGATGACATTGATACTGAATCAAACAAAATCTTTCATCAAATGTTTTCTGGTCAGCGTTCTATTGATGATATGATTCAAATGCTTACCCGCTTTAAGGAATCTTCAGATAAGAGGCAAGTCTTCATAAGAGCACTTGTCCATCTGTGTGACTTGATGTGAACTTCTCTTACAGAAATTTACACACAATACACCATTATATCATATCTGTTGCTGTGTGCCGCCGAATCAGGCATGACTTTTTGGATATTTTTATTTACTTTTTGAACCTTGATTCCAGTAGGAGTATATCGGGATTATATTTTATTGAGCTAGTTGCCTGTCTGGGCATCCTCCTTTGGGGACTTTCCTTCCCAAAACAGGGAGTACCCCATCTATTTCCTTTCACACCTGTCTTTCAGGCTTTCCCCTGTTTTCTGTTCAGATTGCACTAGATGAATAAAAAATTCATTCATGTGGAACCTGTAGATCAGGAAAATTATGTTTGTCTCATTTATGCTTGAAATGTTCATAACTTTTTGAGGGATTTGGACATTCTGACAGGGAACAGTCTATTTACGAGTGCATGATTGCTAACCTGTTCGAGGAGTTCAAATTTTTCACGAAATACCCTGATAAGCAGCTGAAAATTGCTGCAATTCTTTTCGGTGAGATCTTGTTTTGTATCTTCCAAAATCTTTGCTCGTTTTTTCTTCTTAATTTATAGTTATTGCTTATCGTGTTTGTATCATTATTGTCATTGTCTATATCTTTAGGGTGAATGGTATTTCGGACATTGTATAATGGTTATATATGAATTTACTTGCAATTACAACTTATTGGTTGCTAAAATTTATGAAGCAAGCTTATTGGCTTCATAACATGCTATAACCCTCATTGATTGTTTTTGATAGTTCTGTATTATGCAAGGTTAATTACAGTGGACTTAATTTTATTTTTATTTTCTTCTGCTTTCAGGATCACTGATCAAGCATCAACTTGTGACTCATCTAACACTTGGCATTGCTTTACGGGCTGTTTTGGATTCATTAAGGAAACCTACAGATTCAAAAGTTAGTATTTATCCTGAAATTGGTTTTGTTCAATATACTAGTTTTCTCATGTAAATTGACCTTGGGTCAACATGCAGATGTTCTCCTTTGGGACGAAGGCATTGGAGCAGTTTGTTGACCGTCTCATAGAGTGGCCGCAGTATTGCAATCACATCTTGCAGATATCTCATTTGCGTGCTACGCATTCAGATCTTGTTGCATTTGTTGAGAGGACGCTTAACAGAATCTCAGCGGCTCATGGTGAGCCGGATGTTGTCCATAATGTCACTTCTGATCACCATCATGGGTTAATCCAGTCTTCTGCTATGAATGTGGAGGTAATTTTGTAATGCAATTACTCTCTCGAGCTTTTCGACTTAACCCTGAACTTGGTTGAATATCTTGCTGCTGAGTTTGAACATGTCATGTTGTATTTTTCGTAACTAAAATGGTCCATCCTGATTCTGTATAATTGTTTTTCAAGTCAGTGTCCAATACTACAATATGAAACCGGCTATCTTTCTGACCACTCCTGCAAAGATCTTATCATCTGGTGTTCTATGTTTCTGTTGCTTCTATTAAGCAATGATATATTTACTCCAAATGTATTTACCTAGTGGATGGTAAGTTGGTCGATCCTGGTTACTATTTGCATTTCATTGTAATTTGTTGGGGAATGTTGCTTAAGTTTCTTGTTTCTTAATGATCAAGCACACTTTGATGTATTGTTTACTCCTGGCATAGTCAATATTTTTTGTCTTTTGGGAGGCTCAGCCAGTGTTCATTTGTTTACAGATTCCAGGGTCCTCATATTCTCTGATTGGACCTGGCACTTCGCAAATGGGGCTGCAAGCTTCCTCTCCAATTAATCTTCCACAGAGATTGTCTGGTTCTCTGGATGAGAGGAAAACTTCTGCCATCCTGTCTAATTATATGAAGCCTGCGTTGTCTGCTTCAACCCAGCCTGCTATTGCCCCTTCAAGTGATACAGCTAGCATTCAAAAGGTAAGTACTGAGTTTTGAATTCTGTCTACTGTTCAGGTGTACAAGATGCCTGCTTTTTATATACCTTGTATTTTTAAAACTAATCATCAAAGCTAAAATGCAGTCACACAGTGGAATTGGCATGGCCCCAATACACTCTGCCTCTCCCAGTTTTCGACGGCCATCTGGAGTTTCCTCAGCAAGTAATCCCATCTTTAAGTTTTTATATTCATGCTTGCTCTACTATGTTCATGAAAATGTGCCCTTTATGGTGGCCATCACTCCTAGCCTCATGATTTGTGGATCTCATTTAGAGTTCATTCATGTTTTCAGGGTTTGGCTCTGCTTTAAACATTGAAACACTAGTTGCAGCAGCAGAGAGGAGAGAAACTTCTATAGAGGTTCTTGTTTTCCACTGTTTTTAGATGTCATTTGCATTGTATGCTTCTCATTGGGCATTTTGTTCCTTGCCTGTGAACCTGCGCTTTCTTGATTTATAGTACTCTGTTAACTTTTCATCAAGTACAGAAAGTATAATAGATTTTGTTATCATCAAGTACAGAAAGTATAATAGATCCAGCACATACTCTATATGAGAAGAGAGACGTGGAATTCTGTTTTCTTTGTTTTTGCTTTTATTTGATAAAGAAATTAGTAAATTTGTCTATGAAGTGTATGTACTCAATTCATTGTGGTGTCTGATTATTTTGCTGTGCGTTCCATCTTCAAACAGGCTCCTGCTTCAGAAATTCAGGATAAGATATCCTTCACTATCAATAACTTGTCTGCTGCAACTATTGACGCCAAAGCCAAAGAATTTACTGAAATTTTGACTGAGCAATACTATCCCTGGTTTGCTCAGTATATGGTTATGAAAAGGTGAGAAGTTGTCCTTTTCATTTTATCGACTCATGTCTGATTAATGCTTATATTATAATGATCCTATGCATATTGGCATGCATTTTGGTTTTCATAGAATTTATTGCTCGAGTTCTTTCTTTTTTTTGTGCTGGAATTATTGCAGCTTTGTGAAAGAGTAAACATTGGATATTGAATCTTCTTCATGTCTTACTTGCAGAGCAAGCATCGAGATGAATTTTCATGATTTGTACTTGAAGTTTCTTGATAAAGTAAATTTAAAGCCTTTGTACAGGGAGATTATTCAAGCCACTTACGAGAACTGCAAGGTTTGGATAGCTTTATCTACTTTGTCCGTTACTAAATGATTGGTGCTCATTTTTGGTGTTTGCTACTCTACAGGTCCTCTTAGGATCCGAACTTATAAAGTCTAGTGTGGAAGAGCGTTCATTGCTGAAAAATTTAGGAAGCTGGCTTGGGAAGATAACGATTGGCAGAAATCAAGTTCTAAGGGCACGAGAGATAGATCCCAAATCGCTTATTATAGAGGTTGATTTTCTTTTATTCATTTTTTTCGCCGGTGCAGACATTTTCAAAATCACACTTTATATTACTCAATATGGCTTTGGAAATGATGCCAATTCTGTTGCTTTATCCTTCTTTCGTGGAAGTTCTGTTTATCAAGTCTATTGGTGTGTTTTTGCAGGCATATGAAAGGGGGCTCATGATAGCAGTTATTCCTTTTACTTCCAAGGTATGCTATGTGGTTGTTGGTCGATGTGTGTGATGCGTTGTTGTTACTGCTCTCTGTCTCTCTCCCTCTAATATTTTCTATGTGTTTTACAGATTTTGGAACCATGTTCTAACAGTCTTGCATATCAACCTCCTAATCCATGGACCATGGGTATTCTTGGATTGCTTGCTGAGATTTATGCAATGCCAAATTTGAAAATGAATCTCAAGTTTGAGATTGAGGTATTTTCTTAACTGATCTGTTATATATAACAGGAAATCAGTCCACTTTAGTGGATACTTGCTTTGTACTTAAGTTTTCTTTTACTCTCAGGTCCTGTTCAAAAACCTTGGCGTGGACCTTAAGGATGTAAAACCAACTTCTCTTCTTAAGGATAAAGTTAGAGAAGTTGAAGGTAATCCTGATTTCTCCAACAAGGACGTTGGATCTTCACTACCACCGATACCAAGTGAAGGGAAGTCTGGAGTAGTATCGATGCAGAACCAAGTGGATGTACAGCTGGATGTTGCAGCTCCTGCTCATGCTGGAGGCCATTCACGGATATTATCTCAGGTTTGTGCTTCATTAGGTCTATTTTAGTTCACTAATTGACTTTGATATTGATATGTTTCTGGATTCAGTATGCGGCGCCTCTTCATCATTCCTCTGGAACGATAACGGAAGATGAAAAGTTGGTGAGCCTGGGATTTTCTGATCAGCTCCCATCTGCACAGGGCCTTCTACAAGGACATACACATTTTCCAGCTAATCAGGTTCTCTATTACTTTTGGTTGCTTTTATATCCATGGTTGTTTGAGTCGAAATTGCTTTGCTGGATCATGAACTATGTTATGTTTGCAGCTTCCTGTGCCAGCTGCTAATATTGAACAACAAGTTATTGTCAATAAAAAGCTTCAGTCATATGGCCTACACGTGCATGTCCAGAGGTATTGAGTTTGTGAATGAAATTTGTTCAATTCCATTTCATAATGAACTAGTATTGTTTTTTTCAAGTACTCCTTTTTTTGCTGCAGTATACTTCCAATTGCCATGGATAGGGCGGTTAAGGAGATTGTGTCCAGTATTGTCCAACGAAGTGTGTCTATAGCAACACTGACAACTAAGGAACTTGTTATGAAGGTACAAATGTTGTCTTTTTCTGATTTTGCAAAATTGAAAACTGCAGTCATTTCAGTTGTAATTTGGAGAAAGATGGTTTAAAAAAACTATTTGTTCTATATTGACAGGATTATGCCATGGAACCAGATGAGACCCTTATTAGAAATGCAGCCCATTTGATGGTTGCAAGGTTGGCTGGGAGTCTAGCTCATGTAACGTGCAAGGTACAGATTTATTATTATTATTAATTCATCTGTAATATTACGATTTCATACACTTTTTTTACCCCAGTTTTTGTGATATTACACTTTTTCTACCCCAGCTTTTGTGATATTGAGCGAGATTTTTCTTGTTCACATTTAGGAACCTTTGCGTGGCTCAATATCAGGACAGATAAGGAACGCACTTCAGAGCTTGAGCATAACAAGTGATACTCTTGAAAATGCAGTTCAACTTGTGACTAATGACAATCTGGATCTTGGCTGTGTGTTGATTGAACAAGCTGCAACTGAGAAGGTAAGTTGATCATTGATATTGAAGTATGACTATAACTATGATTCCATGTTTCGGAGCTCTCTGACAAGTGACTGCAAAATGGAACTGAAGAATAATAACTGATGCTAGTTAACAAGCATAAGTCCCTTGTAGGCAAAATAATCTAAATAGAACTGTAGCTGTAGCTTGGTGCTAATACATTTTAGCAGTGTTTTAGAAGTCGCTAGGCGCTCGACCATTTTAGCAGTGTTTTAGAAGTCGCCTAGAGAGCCTAGGCGGCCCTAGAAATTAAGATTAAATACCTTAGTTTTTATTAATTTTCACTACTTTCAAAATAAAACTATCTCAACTTATAATTATATTAATTAATCCACACACCTAAGTCCAAATAATAATATTAATATATGTTATAAAGAAAACATGATAACAAAATCGTGTAATTAGTATTTAAGAAAATTAAAAAAACTAAGAAATAGCGTCCGAGCTTGCCTAGGTGCCGCCTAGTCGCCTGGCCGATTTTTTCAGCCGATTCATGCAAATTGGAGGCGGCCGGGTGGCGCCTAGCACCTAGGCAGCTGCCTAGGCCGGTTTTTAGTACAGTGCGACCATTCATTTTCTCATGCCCACTATTTTCTGGATCTGGAAGTGACATTTTCCTGTTGCTAATTTTCGGTTGCAGGCAGTTCAAACCATCGATGGAGAAATTGCACAACAGTTGTCTATTAGGAGAAAACATAGAGAGAGTGTTGCTCCCACATTTTTTGATGCTAGCCTGTATGCCCAAGGTCAAATGGGTGTTTTACCAGAGGCCCTTCGACCAAAACCTGGCCAATTGTCGCATTCACAGCAGCGAGTTTATGAGGTGGATATTCTCTGTTGTTGCTTCTTGAAACATCTCTCCCTGATGAATTAGCTGGTAATAAGTTGTATATATATAACTGCTTTTCCTTTTTGTTTGTAGGATTTTGCTCGGTTTCCAGTGCAAAATCTCCCAACTCAGAGCTCAAATTCTCCACCTGTTGGTCCTTCTGCTTCGCCTGCCAGTGGTGGAATGTCTCGAGCATTTGCATCCACAACTCCATCTGGCCAAATAAGTGCAAGCATTTTCTCATCTGGCCTTGTAAACACTGGACATGGTGCTGTTTCCCCGACTCTGGAAATTGATCAGGATGACATGGAATCAGTTGGATCCCAGATTCCTGCAAGGTTTTTTTCCGTTCTTTCTTACTATTATTTTCCAGAAGTCTGATTTGTTCCCCTCATACATCTGCGATGAATATGGTGATGTTACAGTGTTTCCTCGCCCCACATTGCAATTGGTGAGGCTGCACAAAGCTTTGAAAATGATATGGTTACTTCATTTCCTCCTGATTCTTCGCCGGATTTGCAAGTGGCGGAACCTTCAAATGCTGTCAAAGTGGGTAACATTACAATGCAGTGTAATACTATAATACTTTGGATGTGTTCTTACTGATCTGTGGAACTACACTGCAGGAACCTGCAATTGCTGTGCAGCCTGTAAATGCACCTTTGGCTTCGG